CATTTGCATGTTTAACAAATGTCTCAGGCTACATCACTACAGTTTAAGGCCACCTTTCACATAACAAAGTAGTATGGCGTAGGGAGTTTATGAAAGAGATTTGGCATTGTATTCTATAGAAAGAGTGGGACTGAGACAGATTAGAAGAGTAGAGGTGATAATGAGAGTGATGTCACAGAGGGAAAGGAGGAAAATTGGGTCGAAAGGAGTTAAGTAAGGAGGTTGACAAGAGAGGAAAGTGTAGAAGAAGGATCAAAGACTCATACCAACACATGATAATGCAGTTGTTAAAGCACAGCCAGAGAGTTAAAAATCCAGAATAGGGGAGAAAAAGGGAATGTTGTCATGAGGCCAGATCAGCAACTGAGTGTGCAGTGTATAGTGTATATAGTATGGAGGGTTGGGCGGGGGTGCTGGGAGGGCTCAGGTGCACTGTAGCGTTGCAGGTTCAAATCCAACATGCAGCCTTTCGAGTCATCCTCCTTCTGTCACCCTCTGCTGCTTACTGCCTGAAAAAGCGGAACTGTGCTGAAAGGACAAGGAGACATTGAAATAGGTCAAGCGAAGAGAAATGGGCAGAGGGAAGGAAAACAGGCAGAAAAGCAAGAAGGAGGAGGAGGATGTATCCTATTGAAGTAGAAAAGGATGTAGCGTAAGTGGCAAGGTGGGTAGTAATGAAAAATTTAAGTTCTGAAGCAGTGATGATGGATAGACAGGTAAAGAGGAAGAGAACACTCTCCAAAATGGAAGACAAATAAAACCAGGTCAGCCATATTAGCAGTCAACATTGACCAGAGATTGTTGCCTAGCAGCAAGCATTTATCGCTTCCTACTCCTCTTGTATCTCTCCTTTAGCCTCACTTCACCTCCTCCTTTCCGCTGCCCTCTCTTTGCTGTCATTCCTTCTCTCTTTGCACTCCTCTTTTCCTTTAACCCATTCTTCTCTCCCCTTTTCCGACCACTCTGCTCACAGGTTTTACTTTCATTTTTTTGTACTAGTGCTGCCTCACGCCGACAGCCAGCCTTTTTTGTGTGAGCACCAAAGTATGTTTGTGTGTGTGTGTGTGTAGGTGTGTGTGTCTGAGATCAGTGTGCTAGGCTGGCTGACGCAGCGCTTACACCAGGTCCATGCTGCATCAGGATTACATGGCACATGTGAAACCCTTGTCCTCCTACTCTCGGTCAAATACAGGATGACACATGGCATCAAGCATGCAAATGTGTGTGCAAGTGTGTGTGTGAGTGTATGTTGTGTATGCCAGCCCATCTGATGCTAGAACTCTCATACTTGGTTTCAGACACTTGCTTTTGACTTTTTTTTTTTTTTTTTAAGCTGTAGTAGCTTGTGTTGATGTGATACTGATAATGTAATGCTATAAAATTGTATGGTGATTGTTCTTAATACTGTTGCCTCTACTATTATTATGACTTGACTTGAATATCAGTACAACTAGTACTTAAAGTGCTATCAGGGGGGTAGTGTAACATCAGTAAGTATTTAAAGTTCTTTTGCCAGTCTTTGTCTCTGTAGTTTACATTACATAAAGATATGTCATCTTGTCATGTTCTGAGTCATAAAAATCATTCATGGTTCATATGTGGGAATAAAGGTGTTGCTTTGTGAAGGTAAGAATGGCCTATTTAAACAAAATATGTGCATATCTAAAGTCTTAATTAATGACAGAGTTGTTGTCTTCATTTAATCAACAAAACCAAATTTCCACTGGACCATTGGACCATTGTCATTGGAGCTTTTAAATGATTAGGTTGGAGGGCAGAAAACCACCACAAACATAACATAAAAAGACAAAACATGCCAAATACAATTCAAAATGACAAGGACTGGAAATACCTTTTTTGGTACAGGTATTCTCTAGTGCAAAATCAAATCAAATCAAATCAAATTTTATTTGTATAGCGCCAAATCACAACAAAAGTCATCTCAGGACACTTTACAAAGTAAGGTCTAGACCGTACTGTTATCAATATTATTACATAGGGAAAACCCAACAAATCCCCCTTGAGCAAGCACTTGGCGACAGTGGAGAGGAAAAACTCCCTTTAACGGAAGAAACCTCCGACAGAGAGAGGACACACTACGGGAGAGAGGAGACACACAGTTAGTGATGTGTAATGGTGGCATATAGAAGCATAGGGAGAGAGGAAAGGAGAGGAGAGGAGAGGGGAGGGGAAGAGAGGAGAGAAACTCAGAGCATCATGGGGCCCCCCAGCAGCCTAGGCCTATAGCAGCATAACTAAGGGAAGGCTCAGGGTCACCTGATCCAGCCCTAACTATAAGCTTTATCAAAAAGGAAAGTCTTAAGTCTAATCTTAAAGGTAGACAGGGTGTCCGCCTCTTGTCATGTATATGTATACCTCTTGTCACACGTTTAGCACTTTTTATGGTACTACAAAACCCACTACTATTGATACCCTATTAATACCACATAGTCTCTCTAGTAGTACTACTGATATTGCTTCAGTTGTTATACTGTCAGTCAGTTACTGACTGACTGACTGGAATCCAGATATTGATAGTGTATTAGCTCAGTTGTTGATCAGCAATTTTATATTGCTACAGTACAGCCCTGCCACATGTATGTCGATTCTGCGTGAGTTTGCAGTGTGCGGGATGCTCATCACAACTGCCTTCACTATGATGTCCATACGGGTGGGAGAATAATTATTTGATCCCCTGCTGATTCTGTAGGTTTGCCCACTTACAAAAAATGATGGATTTATAATTTTTATCATAGGGTTATTCTAAAGGGCAGAGACAGAATATCAACAAAAAAATTCCAAAAAAAGCACAAATGTTATAAACTCAGTTGCATTTCAGCAAGTAAAATAAGTATTTGATCAGCTACCAACCAACAATAATTTTGGCTCCCACAGACTGGGTATGTGTTCATGTGGTGCCCAAATTAGTCCTGTCAATTTAAGAAGGTGCTAACCACAGTTCGTTATGTGTATAAAAGACACCTGTCCACAGAGTTTCTCTATCTTCCATTCAAACCTCACCACCATGGGCAAAACCAAAGAGCTGTCAAAGGAAATCAGGTAGAAGACTGCAGACCTGCACAAGGCTGGAATGGGCTACAAGACCATCAGCAAGAAACTTGGTGAAAAGGAGACAACTGTTGGAGTGGCTATTCACAAATGGAAGAATTACAAACTAACCATCAGTCGCCCTCGATCTGGAGATGCATGCAAGATTTCGCCTCATGGGGTAAGGATGATCATAAGAAAAGTGAGGGATCAGCCCAAAACTACACGGGAATGATCTCAAGGCAGTTGGGACCACAAACACCAAACAAACCACTGGTAAAACAGTACGCCACCATGGACTGAAATCCTGCAGCACCCGTAAGGTCCCACTCCTCAAGAAGGCACATCTACAGGCCCGTCTGAAGTTTGCCAATGAACATCTAAATCAGGGGTGGCCAATTCCATTCCTCGAGTGCCAGTGTCCTGCTTGTTTTCCAACCATCCCTGCCTGACCTGCTGCTGATTACCTGTCTCAGGTGTGTTCAGCCAGTCAGAAGCTGGAATATACCATCTTAGATGAAAGTGGATTGAGTAAAGATAAAGTGAATTGGTATCTTCCAACAGGAGAGTGTAGGTGTGACAGCCACTCAGCATAAATGCTATCATGTCTGAGCATTTTTAATAAGTACAACCCCAAATCAGAAAAAGTTGGGACTCTACGTAAAATCAAAATTAAAACTGAAAATAGTTATTTGAAATCATCTGTATGCGGTATGACATTGAAAACAATACAGCAGTATATTATTTGATTGTAATCATGATTTGGTAAAAAAAAGTGGCATCTGGGAAAGGCTAAGCCCTTTAGGAGCAAAAATGGGCAGATGATCACTAGTTTGCCAACATATGCATGAAAAAAATTATTGACATTTTTAAAAACAATGTTCCTCAAAGAAAGATAGGAAGGGATTTGGATACGTCACCCTCTACGGTGTAGAACAGAATTAAAAGATTCAAGGAATCTGAAGGGATTTCAGTTCATAAAGGCCAAGGGCGCAAGCTTAAGCTGGATGACTGTGCTCTCCGATCCCTCAGATAGCACTGCATCAAGAATTGTCACTCTTCTGTAAGCGATATTACCACATGGGCTCAGGATGACTTTGGCACACCTGTGTCAGGCACTACGATACGTAGTTACATCCATAAATGCTGCTTAAAACTGTACTGTGCCAAAATAAAGCCCTTTGTCAACAGTGTCCAGAAGTCGACTGCTCTGGGCTCAGAGGCATCTGGGATGAACCATCACTATCCAGACTGTTACTAGCCACAAGTCCAAAAGCCAGAGCCTGTCATGGTCTGGGGTTGTATCAGAACTTCCAATTCTGTGATGGCTTCATTAATTCTGGAAAATACACAGAGATTTTGGAGCAACATATGCTGCCCTCAAGATGACATCTTTTTTTCCAGGGATGCCTGTGCATATTTCAACAAGACAATGCAAAGCCTCATACTGCACACATCACCAAGACCTGGCTGTGGAGGAAAAGGATGCGATTCCTGGGCTGGCCTGCCTGCAGTCCTGAACTGTTCCCAATAGAGAATGTGTGGCACATTTTGAAATGCAAATTGTGTCATCACATATCCAGGACTGTTGTGCACCTTAAGACTTGTTTTCAGGAAGAATAGGACAAATTGACATCTGACACAATTAATAACTTAGTGTCCTCAGTCCCTAAACATCTTTTAAGCGTTGTGAAACATCACATCGTGGTCAACGCTTTACTATCCCAACTTTTTTTGGAATGTCTTCTGGCATCAGAATTAAAGTGAGTGTTTATTTTGAACAAAGAATAAAACTGATGAAGTATCACATCAAATAATGTGCTGCTGTACTGTTTTCAATGTAATACAAGACAGATGATTTGCACATCACTTTTCAGATTTAATTTTGATTTTACATACTGTCCTAACTTTTTCTGATTTGTAAAAGACTTGTGTGTTTCCTTGTTTTCCAGGAGGTATGCCAGTGCCTGAGGTGGCATCTGACATTGCCAGCGTTGCCACCATGTTAAGCCCCGTCCTCAACGCCTCCAATGGCGACGGCTCTGAGTCTGAAACCACCTCCGCCATCCTTGCCTCCGTCAAGGAACAGGTTAGAAACCTGCGTGTGTGTGAGAGTGCATGCATCATACATATAAGGTTGTCAGAATTCATGAAATGTGAATACCAGAAAGTAGTGAGGATAATTCCTCCAGTCCTTTTAGTGTGTGACAAGGCAACAGTAAATAATAAACACAAATGATGAAGTGCCCATCTGAGCTAATGTGTTACAGATATGTCACTACTTTTGATCTGTTCGCAGGAAGCCTCAGGCTACAGTCCCTCAGTGTAATCATGAAAATGTTCTAATATGGTGGGATGCATAATTTCTCACATTCTGTCTGAGCAGCTTTGTTGGAGATACTGTGTGTGATGAAGCAGTAAAAGGATAAGACAAAACCTTCACCTTGATTTTTTTTCTTCAGTAAAGCTAACATTAGGATTTAAAGCTCAACTGTGTTTGGTTTGAAAGGTCACATTATTCATACTCTACCCGAATGTGTCTTGATAGAGATTTATAGTGACTTTTTCATACTGTATATGTAGAAGGTGTGTGTCACTCTACATGCTGTGATACATGGAAATAGTGGGTTGAACTGCTCACTGTTGGGAAAGTTACTTTTGAAATGTAATTGGTTACAACTTAGTAGTTACCCTGTGAAAATGCAATCAGCAATGTAGCTATTTTAAATACTTCATTAAAATAATGTAACTTGTTATCTTTAATTACTTGTGGAATATTTTATATGTAGCTGGGCACTGAGCAAAATATTTTTGAATTTCCAGCACTGAAAGGTGTTCTTGTCTGATAACAGAGCCACCCGCCTTGGTGTTGTTGGCTGGTTGCAGCCAGACTGCTTAGAGCAATGCCCATAGATTTGACTAGGAGATTAAAGGCAGTGCAGTCAAACAAGAGAACCAGTGAAAAACAACACTTAAAATTTGATGGCATACAAAATGAATGGAGCTTATTTAGACAGCTCCTTGTATGCCATCTTACTCTTGATAGTGTTGCCCTCCAATTTGTCCCAGCGACTTTACTGAACCTCATTGTCCAGAAATATACCATACAATGGCATTCGTGCACAGCAAAAAGATGGAAAGTAACACAATGAATAAGCTTTTACCAAAAATAATATATGCAGATGTAACCCCTTTATAATCACTAGTAGTAACTGTAATTTAATTACAAACATTTATGCTTAGTAACTGTAACTGATTACAATTACTTTTATTACCTCTGCCAAAGAGGTAATGTAATTACAGGCATTTGTTTGTTGGTTGGTTTGTTCACGCATTAATGGATTTTGATGAAATCTTTTGGAGAGGTAAGGTATGACCTAAGGAACAATCAATTTTTAATGAGGAGCTGCCAAAATACACAGCAGAGCACAAGCACAACACATCTGTTTTAATCCTTTTCATTTTCTCATGTGATAGTCACACCTCTGCACACCCCTACAGGAAGCATTTTATGTGGCCTCTCTGACCTGCATCTTGTGTGTGCAGCTAAGCCCCACTGTCACTGTCACAAGAGACACACACACAGCCCTGAAACTGGATGCACTTTACACAAGCTGTGTTCAAAGAAGAGGAAGAAGGGAAAAAAGGAATGATGAGTTGTTCTTTTGAATGAAACTCAACCATAAGAGCCAGCTCTGTTCAAAGAGCCACTATTCCCATCACGACCATGTCCAACTGTCAGTCACCAAAATTTGACTTCCCCACAGTGGTCCATGTAACGCAAAACTGTTAAGATTTGAAAGTGTCCTAGGAGTGGATCATCACATGAGTCATTATTTTTGCAGATGATTAAATCTTCTTTGTAAATGAAAGTCAGCCTTTCTTAGCATTAAAAGCAATACTAGCTGCCCCCTGAACCTATGTTGCTCATTGCACACTGGGAAGCACTGATGCTAGATGTAATGCTAATCCATCCAGAAGTTATTAAGATATTTTAATCTGAACCAAAGTGTTGAACAGATGGACAGCTGCACTGGTACTGCCATCCAGTGTATTTAAAAATTACTTTCACTGAGCTTACTCTCCCACAGGGTAAATACCAATCAACATTCAGTAAAATCAGAACAGATTAAATGTAAGATATAAGACTTTTAAGTGTGAGCGCCCACCATGTATTTGAACTTGAAGGGGAACTTCACTGATTTTATACACCAAAGTCTGTTTACTTGTCTTGGGGGATACTGTATATGTTAAAACGTTGTACAACACCTTTTGTGTCTCCAGAGGGAGCTGTGTAATCTGATAAATGTCCTCAAGTGACGTTACTCGAGACAGTGTAGGTTGGAGCTAAAGACTACAAGCTTTAAAGGGAAGGAAATAAAGATCGCTGGTGTCAAGTTAGAAAGTGAGGTTGGAGACTCAGGGATACATTAGCTGCTACTAACATATCTGTTGCATCAGTTTTGATCCTTGTTGTTAACTGTCCATCATATTGTAGGAGTGCAATGTACTGTAATTTAACTGAGAAAATGTGCATGTATTTGTGCATGCAATGTGTGTATGTGTGTGTGTGTGTGTGTGTGTGTGGGGGGGGTGGTATAGGTTGAGTGAATACTTAATACTGTGGATAGTGTGTGTGTGTCCTTGAGTGCCATAGGATGTGAAGAAAAGTACTCAGAAGCTAACGATAGCAATGAAAATGCTGAGAGTGGAAAACTAATGGTTTCCTCGTGTTTTAGACTAAAACCTCACGGTGACTTTCTACAGTGTTCTGGGAGACTATTCCTAGTCTAAGTAGGTCACATAGACTTGGACATACACACACAGGTCTTGGACACACACACACAAACCGATGATCTAGGGCATGGTAATGGCCTTCTGATGAGAATGTGTAAAAAGAAAAAGGCTGAAGAGAAGAGTAATGGAATTAGCATCAGCTATTTGTGCAGATGACAACAAAGTGCGGATGAACACATAGTTGCCCACTCATTCTGCCACCTCCCTTCTTCTTCCTCTACAAGCTGAAGTCGTTATGTTTTATGGTCCTGCACCATGTTGGAGTTATTATTATTTTTTAAGCCAGCCATTTTTCACTTCCTTTCATGCTTGTTTTTGCAATGTGTCATTTTTCAATATGTTTGAGCTGTTGCCAGTGTTTGCTACCAGGCTACGAAAAGGAATCAAGGATGTATGTATGTGTGCGCATTTTTTGTGAGATTCTCATAGACACACACACAGACAACTTCAAAACTTCTTGTTCATTTCAGTTCATGAAGATAAGGGTGGTCATGATGGAGTGAGAAAAGGTTTCACATCCATTTTGATACACAGACTTGCAGCCTGTGGGACACACACACACACATATGCTGCCATTCAGACTCTTTTGCCTTTGCTGACTCACACCAGGAGATTTCTGCTGCTGTTTTCCTCCATTTCCTTCTAACCACATGAGATTGATTAGCTATTCGATGTTGTATTTATCACATCTGTCAGTTTTTATCCTCATATCGTTTATCATCTCTGCTGTCAACACATCTGCTGTTATGGAAGCGCTGCATGAAGTTCCAGCTATGGAAGTGAGTTATTCCATTGTAAGATGTGGCACATTTGAAAAATCTGACATATCATCTTATTGAATGACAGCTAAAGTGAAAGTGGCACAGGGTATTGATTAGCTGTCTTTTACATTTGACAATCAAGTCAGTTCTGATATCGAGATATAAATGTGTGTTTAAAAAACATCCTCAAAACAGTTTTATTCTCTCAGCAATGAAGCACCTAAAGCAATTCAAAACAAAAGACTTACATTCAATTTTAAATATTAATTCAGAAAATCCATGTCTCTTTTCTGGTGCTCCTGGTCCTTTTTTTAGTGGGGGGAGTATTCTATTTGCCATTGTCCATATTCACTAAAGGCCCATACAAAGGTTTTGTGCTTGTAAAGTGTAAGAATGATAGCACAGCTACTATAGCTTGTTTTGGCTCATCCAATATGTATGCGTTTGTGTTTAGAGGCATAAAAAATAGGAAGAGGCAATAGAAATGTATGCAGATAGCTGCTGCTGTTAATTTGACAAATGGACCACTGAGGTAGAGGACACTGAGTTTTAAATCTAACATCTGGGAAAAGTAAGGTGTATAATCAGCAGCAAGGTGCGCTGTAAATTGTTCAGAGAAGAAAAACATTTAAATAACAGCAGGGAAGATAACAATTCTAACTTAAATTACTTAAATGTACACTACATTACAAATGCACACTATTCTGGTGCCATAATTGCTCAGCAGTGTCATCAAATATGTATTAATCCACAGCTGAAAACAGTCACCAACAAATGCATTATTACCTCCACCAAGGACCTACATGCAGCCACAATAATGATATCAATGTAACTATAAATGCCAGCAGTGGGTTTTCATGGAATCATACGGTGAGGGTCAAACTATCACGGGAATATTGTTTTTAGGTGGACTTTCATTGTGGTGAAAGTGAGTTGCCTAGGTGGAGGTTTTCACTCTCTGAGTGCTGTTGTCTAGTTTACTCATGTTTGAGCAATATTTGTTAAAAACTACACTTCCCAGCTGTCAACAGTATGCCTGTGTTGCAATGGGAAAGGGAAGGGGGATATAACTTAAGGGGTCACTTAAATCTAAAAGTTCATGCTATACGTACAACCAAAAAAAGATTTTGTATTTCTATAAGTGGGGTCAAATTATGGAATAATTTAAGTGTGGACATGAAGAACAGTACTAGAATTGAGGAGTTTAAATATAAATATAAATGTATGTGTCATACAAGATATATGCAAGAATAAGATTTATTCGAGAAGGCATTATGGAAACACTCTGTTTTAATTTTCTGTGTATTACTTGTTGGTGAAGAAGACAATTACCTATGTAGAGATACTGCTTGCAGCCAATGATGCATGAAATTTTTTGTATAATATGATGTTATGGGGTAGGACTGGATAAGTCTGACTTCTTCCTACTCCATTCAAACATGTACTAGGTGTAAGCAAACTGATTTTGGATTAGCATTGGTTGGATATGGGTAATTATGTGTGTGTGTGTTGCTGTCATTTGTTCTGTTCT